GCCAAGAGTATTTTCCTTAACAAAATCCATCTTTCTACTTGCCCAAAGCACCTAGCATTTCACCATCTGACTACTAAACTTTAGTATTTTATGGTGTCAACTTCTGTGTCACGTGGCGCCTCATCCTGTGACCTTCATATAGCCCAGATGTGGACACATAGACCTAAGGAATAGGCTGAAAGTGTGCAGAGCCCAGGCTGGACTGTCCCAAGCTGTCTGGGCCCTCCTCCCAGAAGTCGGCTCCTGCCACTGGGGAGACTGCAGTGTGGACCATCAGGTCTGAGCCTTAAGTCCTAACTACACCCTGGGATTCACAAATCAAATACAATAAGAAAGAATCCAAATATCTCATTTTCTATTGGTTACATATTGAAACCTTACTTTGGATTTACTGGACTATGTAAAATGTATTGACTAAAAAAGACACACAGTGTGAGAGCTGCCAGTTAACTTTTATTTGGGGCAAAATGCAGAGTGCAGTCCCGGAGGCATCATGTCAGACAGGTCTGAGAGACTACTCCAGAGAGGTATCTGAAGTGGTGCCTCCCCGGCTGCAGTCCGCAGTTTGTCGCAAATAAAACTCAACTCGAAACTCTCACATTGTGCATCTTTTTTTAAGTCAACAGGGTGTCCGACAAAGCGACCCAGAGTGGACTTCCTTCCTTGGCCTGGACTCCACGAGGAACTGGAGCTTTGGTTCCAGCAGTGGCCCCTTGCGCCCATCTGCCTCCTCGGGGAATCCAAACAAATTTGGGAAAGTCTCTCCTGGTTCTCAAATCTCACGTGTTGGTTGAGATGCTGAGTTTCATTTGGCAATGCAGCAGGTTACCTGCCCCCTCCCAGTTGGAAAGATACTGGGGGAACAGGGAGCCGGTGAAACATCTGGGGCTTCCCCACTCACGGTCTAGACACTGAGTGGGACTCAGCTGAAAGATACCAAGAAATCCCCACCCAGTGGAAAGGTACTGGATAGGAGGTTGGCTGGAAGATGCCAGGGGAATTACCCACCCAGTGGAAAAGTACTGGGTGTGTGTATGGGGGAGGGGGTTGCTTGACTGAAAAAAAAATCGAGGAATACCCAGGGCTCAGCTGAAAGATGTCAAGGTCACTCCGTTGTAGGGGACTGAGTGGTCTTGGCTGAGTGGCGAGCTAAGAGGCTGATCTGACACTTTACCTCAATTCGACTGCCTTTATAGAATCTGTCGGCATAAAAATTAGAATGTACAAGAGCTTTGCTGCAAAGAAAAGGAACAAGGCTCCTCTCGGCTGGTTGCACTTTTCTCAGGGGACAGAGAAATTTATGGGGGTGGTGGAGGCCTAGTCCTCATATCGTGCAGTGGTCCCATAAGGAAACCCACTCACTAATTAAACTACTTGCTCGTCCAGGGTGACCCATAAGAACTGACCATTCAGCCATCTGAGCAGCAACAGTGGTCTTAGATTGCTGGAGGCAGAATCCAAGACACGTAAGACAGGCAGAAACGACTCTGGGGTGACTCCTGGGGGAGTTAAGTTCACAAGAAGCACACGGGCCCACTACACAATTTCACTAGTGACTTTTATCCCTGATCAACTTAAAGTGGGAAACATGATCTCTCAAAAACAGAAACGAGGGGCATCAGAAAACCAACCTCTGACTAACACTCCAACCAGATTCACGTACAATACCTATGGTGCGCATACTTGCAAGTACCTAGTTAACTGGGGAAATTATACCTAAAAGAGAGCTCAACCTAAAATGGCTAAATTGGGGCTCTTTTGATATTTCAAAATTGATACTTTGGTGCACACAATTAGAAAAGACTGGCCCTGCTTACTTTGATATCTGCAGCTGCTGCTGCTGCTGCTAAGTCGCTTCAGTCGTGTCCGACTCTGTGCGACCCCATAGACGGCAGCCCACCAGGCTCCCCCGTCCCTGGGATTCTCCAGGCAAGAACACTGGAGTGGGTTGCCATTTCCTTCTCCAATTCATGAAAGTGAAAAGTGAAAGTGAAGTCGCTCAGTCGTGTCCGACTCTTGGCGACCCCATGGACTGCAGCCTACCAGGTTCCTCCACCCATGGGATTTTCCAGGCAAGAGTACTGGAGTGGGTTGCCATTGCCTTCTCCATTGATTGATATATAGAAGTTGCTAAAAGAGGAAATGATAGAGTAACATTTTTGAAGGAAACCAACTTCCCCTATAGCTCAGAAGTAAAGGATCAGCCTGCAATGCAGGAGATCCAGGAGTCATGGTTTCGATCCCCGCATCAAGAAGATCCCCTGGAGGAGGTTATCGACAAAAAAGGATGTACAACTTGAGAGTTGCAAGTTTATTTGGGGCAAAATGAGGACTGCAGCCCCAGAGGCAGCATCTCAGACAGCTCTGAGAGACTGCTCCAAAGCAGAAGTGGGGGAAAGTCAATATATAAGGTTTTGGTGAAGGGGGAGTTTAATACCATGAAGCACTCATTTTTACAAAACTTTTTTTTTAGTTTTAGTTTTTGTTGTTGTTGTTTTTTTTTTTTTTTTAGTCAGGAGGATCTGATGTCACCATGAAGGAATTCAGTGCTTCTCTAGATATGAGAAGATGAAAGGATTGAGATCATAAAATCTGTTACTAGAAACAGCCAACTATCTAAAGCCCTGTTCCACCAGATTCCCTGGAGCACAGAGTGCCTCACTCCACCCTGAACTCCCTCCAGGGTTGTTGAACATCAACAGCTATAGCAGCATTGGGTTCAATCTCCGTAGAGGCAGATGGCAAATGCCTTTGTTGTTCACTCGTTGGCAATGCTCTTGGCAAGTGCCAATTTGTAGTTGACAGGGGCATGGCAACCCACTCCAGTATTCTTGCCTGGAGAATTCCATGGACAAGAGGAGCCTGGTGGGCTACAGTCCATGGGGTCACAAAGAGTCAGACATGACTGAAAGCGACTGAGCACGCACAAACCACAAGAAATTGCTGGAAACTATATCAGAACTAAAAAGGGCTGCTAGCACTGACTCTGCCAGGTCACAGGTCTAGAGAGACTGGAAAGTCCCGTTTGGCATTTATGCCATTTGACTTTTGATTTCTGGGCATCACTTTACCATCTTTTGGGAACACTCTTGCCACTTGGCTTTTGATTTCTGGGCATCTCTTTGCCTTCTGTTTTATTTAGAGTGTGACTCCTGGCAGGTGAGGTTCTGGTTTGGTTTCGTTTGAGCGTGCAAACATCTGGTACAAACTTCTCAAGCTAATGTGGGAAGCACTTCCTTTAAGGTTCCACACTCCGCCTGGGAACCAAAGTTATGGTTTTTCCAGTAGTCATGTGTGGATGTGAGAGTTGGGCCATAAAGAAAGCTGAGTGCCAAAGAATTGATGCTTTTGAACTGTGGTGTTGGAGAAGACTTTTGAGAATCCCTTGGACTTCAAGGAGATCCAGCCAGTACTGAATATTCATTGGAAGGACTGATGATGAAGCTAAAACTCCAATACTTTGGCTACCTGATGAGAACTGACTCATTGGAAAAGACCCTGATGATAAGAAAGATTGAAGGCAGGAGGAGAAGGGGATAACAGAGGATGAGATGGTTGGATGGCATCACCGACTCGATGGACAGGAATTTGAACAAGCTCCAGGAGTTAGTGATGGACAGGGAAGCCTAGTGTGCTGCAGTCCATAGGGTGGCAAAGAGTTGAATACTTAACGACTTACACTGAACAGCAACAACAATGAGCTGTTAGACAAACTCTATTAAGAATAATTATGCTTTGGGAATGTCTGTCTAATACAGTCGCTCCAGATTAGGGTAACTTGACTAAGGGTTGTGACTGTCAACTAAAAAATATGCACAACTTTAGAGCTACAAGTTGAGCTTTATCTGGGGCAAAATGAGGACTGCAGCCTGGGAGGCAGTACCTCCGATAGCTCTGAGAGACTGCTCCCAAGAGGCAGTGGGGGAAGCTCAATATATAAGATTTTGCCGAAGGTGGAGTTCAATACAATTAAGCACTCATTTTACAAAAGCTATTCAGCCAGCATCTGTTGTCATCAGGAAGGGATTTATTGCCTTTCTAGATATGATGAGATGCAAGCAGCTGTTGACCATCAGCACCCCCTGAGGGAGTTCAGGGTGGAGTGAGGTTCTCTGAGCTCCAAATCTGATGGCACAGGTCTTTAGATAGGTGGATATTTTCAGGAACAGATTTTATGATCCTGATTCTTGCATCTCCTCTTATCTAGAAAAGCACAAAATCCCTTCATGGTGGCATCAGATCCTCCTGACTAGGGGGGGAAACTCATAAAATAAGCAACTGATTGCACTGATTTCTCCTGCACCAAAATCTTATATATTGACCTTCCCCCACTGCCTCTTTGGAGCAGTCCCTCATCTATCTCAGCTGCTGCCTCCTGGGCACCTCACCTTGCCCAAATAAACTTGAAACTCTCAAGTTGTACATCTTTAGAGGACAAATGTATTTTTCGTGTGCGTATTCGAAAAATTTAAATTACATATGTGGAACAAAAATAAAATAAAATAAATTACATATGTGGCTTACAATGGGCAGCACCGAGTTAAAGGATGACCCGAGGAAAACAACCATGCCTGTTAAACCCTGCCAAGTTCTTTAGTAAGTTTTCTCTCTCTCATTGATTCCTCCCCAGAATCAGCTGAGATAAAAGTCACGTCTCCTTTCTAGAGGAATAAGACCTCGGTAGCACGCCAGGTTTTCTGCACCCCTTGGGTTCCGCGGCAACAGCGGGGTCGGCGAGGGCGGCGGGAACCGGAAGGACGGCAGCGGCACCAGCACCCAAGAGCCTCGCAGGGCTTCCGCGGCGACCTTCCCAAGATGGCACCGCCGAGGGGTGGGGCTGTCCGCCACACCACCTCCGTCCCACCCCGCGCTGGCGATTGGCTAAGACAACTCGGTGCTTAGTGGTGATTGGGCCTCACGGAGACCCGCGCTGGGCGGGACCGGAAGGGGTCTCTGCCCTGGGGTGCTCGGGCCCGGGGCTCCACGTTGGTCCCTGGGGGATGTGGAAAGCTGGCAGCATGTCGGCGGAGCTGGGGATCGGACTCGCTCTGCGAGCAGTGAACGAGCGCGTGCAGCAGGCGGTGGCGCGGCGACCGCGGGTGAGGAAGGGGACCAAGCGGGGACGGTGGGCGGCCGCGCCGAGGAAGGGGGACACCTGCGTGGGAACGGGTCGTCACGGTGACGCAGAGGGGTCGCCTGGAGGGGCGGGACCTGCCCGCTGCCTTGGCATTGGCGCAAGCTGCAGAGCCCCCGCAAAACGCTAGCGAAGACGAAGGGGGTTCCCCAGCTCCTGTCAGGTTTTCTGCAGTTTAGCGATCCCGGGAAAATGACCAGTCTCTAGGCAGCGCGACCATTGTCCATCCCGCTTCGTGGTAGGGGTCAGCAGCCTTGGCGGAAGGGAGAGAGGCCAGGCCTGTACCCAGAGACTGCAGGAGAAGACGCCCACTACAGGAGCACCCAAAGGAGGCCAGGTCTGCCGGGGATCACGTGTGTGGCAGAGTCTCAGCCAGTAGATTGCTCATAAAGTAATGTCAAGTGCCCCCGCCAGCGAAGGAGAGGGTGAATTGACCCGACTTGAGAAGCACCCAGAGCTGCTCTTGCACGTTTGAGGCAGCAGGGAACTGACATCCAATCCCAAGCAGTTTATGGGGAGTTTTTTTCCTCCCTTATTTGTATTTAGTCTTCTCTTGGAATTTATTTAGACTAAAGGTCAGTACCTTCCTCCCTCAGTGCAAGTTTTAAGTTGAATGGTGTGGAGTGAGCCAGGCTTGAATGGAGAGGTCAACATTCTTTGTTCAAGCATTTATGGTGTCAGCTCAGAGTGCTGGCCGGGAGACAGAAGACCTGTATTAGCATCACCTTTGCTTGGCTGTTAAGTAGATGTTACCTTGAAAGAAAGTGAAGTCGCTCAGTCGTGTCTGACTCTTTGCGGCCCCACGGACTGTAGCCAGCTGGGCCCCTCTGTCCATGGGTGTTCTCCAGGCAAGAATACTGGAGTGGGTAGCCATTTCCTTCTCCAGGGGATCTTCCCCACCCAGGAATCGAACCTGGGTCTCCCGCATTGCAGGCAGACTGTACCGTTTGAGCCAAGTGAAGTACTGACTACCTGGGTGGTAAATTTCCTCATCTATGCAGGCATGGAAAGCTCAAAACTTGCTTCAGGCATTAATGTTTTATGATTCACCAAGAAAACTAGAGATCCCCCTAAAAAATATCAAACTAGGGGTTTCTCTCAGCTTAACTCTCAGGCAGATGGGCCACATATTCCACTTTTCTTTTTTTCTAGAAACTCAATTCATCAGCGTAATTAATCCTCAGAGTTATGATGTGGTCTCATGAGACATTGGCAGTACAGCCCTCAGAAGACAGGGGGAAACTCTTGGCGCTTTGATTTAGCTTTTTGTGGCCTTGAGAAGCCTGTGATTCTGTAAAAATTCCAGAGGTTGATGGGGTACCTGAAAACTGAACCATATGACGATAGGCGAATCTCTTCTCTGTGTGGATTTGGTTGCTGCAGAATCCAGGGAAGCCCTCTCTTTATGCCATGGCCATGAGATCGGGAGTCAGATGAGCCTAATCCTGAGTCCAGAGCCTTCTGTGTCCCTGCCTCAGTTCTGCCTCTGGTGATGGTTTAATCACTAAGTCGTGTCCAACTCTTGTGACCTCGTGGATTGTAGCCCCCCACGCTCCGCTGTCCATGGGATTTTCCAAGCAAGAATACTGGAGTGGGTTGCCATTTCCTTCTCCAGGGGATCTTCCCAACCCAGAAATCAAACCCAGGTCTCCTTCATTGTAGGCAGATTCTTTACCGACTGAGCTACAAGGGAAGCTTCAGTTTTGCCACTGGTTCTTTTTTTTTTTTTTTTTTTTTCAGTATTTTATTTATTTGACTGCTCTGGTCTTAGTTGCACCACCCAGGATCTTCCTTGTGGCACACCCCCTTTCTCTCTAGTTGTGACTTGGGCTTAATTGCCCCAAAGCATGTGGGACCTTAGTTCCCTGATCAGAGATGGAACCTCCATTGGAAGGCAGATTCTTAACCACTGGATTGCCAGGGAAGCCCCTCTGCCACTGGTTCTGCCACATAAATTGCAGAGTTACCCTAAGGCTGCTTCTGAGAGGCAATATTGTAGGCAGTATTAATAATTACACCAGGATCCTGATGAGTTTCTGAAACTGTTGACCTTGGGGTTTTAGGAGCCAGAAGTGGCCTCCCTTATAGTCAGAGAGTGATACCTCCTCCTAACTAAGTGATTCTTAAACCTTGCCATGCAAGAGACTCAGCTGAAGAGTTTGTTTTAAAGGGGATTCTTAGACTCCAGCCTGAGATTCGGACCCAGTGGGTTGGGAGGGGACCCAGATGATACTGATAATATTGGTCAAAGACCACAGTCTTAGGAAGTAAAGCTTTTACTTACCTGCCCAGCTCTCCTGAGAAAGAAAGGTGTTCTGCTAGATTTTTGTTAAATTTAGTTTTTACATGTATTGATTTTTTGGCCATCCTGTGCAGCATGTGAGATCTAAGTTCCCCGACCAGGGATCAAACCCACGCCCCCTGAAAGCACAGAGTCTTAACCCCTGGACCACCAGGGTAGTCCCTTCTGCTCTGCTAGATATTAAGGTGGCTAACATATTAGATTTAGATGCCATGCATACAAAAGACAATTCATCAACATTATTTGATATTGATAGCTGTGCTGTATTGGAAAAGTGGATCTGATCAAATGCCAACTAAAGATCTCTGCTGATCCATCCTCCAGGATGCCCTGGAAGAGTTATCGGGATAATAAGTCCAAACACTGACTCATCTGGCTCTTTTCCTCTTGGCAGGATCTCCCAGCCATCCAACCCCGGCTAGTAGCGGTCAGCAAAACCAAACCTGCAGACATGGTGATAGAGGCCTACAGTCATGGGCAGCGCACTTTCGGGGAGAACTATGTATGTGAGGGCCCTTTTCCTGCCTGTAAACTGCCCTCGGAAGGATCAGGTGTGCCAGGCTTCTGACTTACTCTATTTTTCACCCTGTAGGTTCAGGAACTGCTTGAAAAAGCATCAAATCCTCAAGTAAGTGGAATCTGAATTCTTCATATCTAAATCTTAACGGTTCAGTTGGAAATTAGACCCACCTTGGTAGTTGAGTTTCAGAACAGGAGGTCAAGCTGATGGTAGAAACGCCTGCGTTCGCTGTGAGTCCCAAGTATTTCTCATCTAGATTTTCTCTCTTTCTTAAGACCATCGTTTTCTCCTTTGTGGCTTTTTGAAAATGGGGATTTTACAAGCTTGCTGTAACCTTGGATCCTTTTGAGATTTGAAAGCTTTAACCAGTTTCTTCTCAATGGGCAGTATCTGAAAGAAGGGGAGAGTTAACAGGAACAAGGAAGAGAAACAGAAGGCTTCAGTTTTTCTCTAAGTGTCTTTAAGGGCCTGCCTGAAGATGCAATAGTGGTTTATCGCTTAGACTGGAAAGGTGAGAGGGAACGTGTGAAGTGTGTGAGCTGGCGAGCCCTCCATAGACTCTGAATTAAATGCGACCACCTCTTTCTCTTTAGATTCTGTCTTCGTGTCCTGAGATCAAATGGCACTTCATTGGCCATCTACAGAAACAAAATGTCAACAAATTGATGGGTAAGATAAAACTCTAAATATGAAGACCCAGTTTTTTCCATCATTTTATCATCTACAGTCCCTTCTGTGGAAGAGGGAATATTTTAGATTATCCCTAAGTCACCATTTGTGCTTTGGGGCTGCTTTTGGGAAAGAAATCTTAGTTCTTGATGAAAGGGAAGAAAAACATCATGATAAGAACAAAATGAGCTCACAGTTGGCTGGGTATGATAGTTGGAAACCTACCCTACCACACATGTATTTTTTTGGCAGTCTTTGAAATAAACTAGAAGGAATTGAAGCCCATAAAATTTTTTGGCTAAAAAAAAAAATTTTTCTTTAAATAAATTTTTTTGGCTAGCAAAGGAAAGACTTTTGTCCTTTTCCTTTTTTTTTTTTTTTGTTTGAGGTTCACTTTATTGTGTAATGAACATAATTTTCTTTGTATCTGTTTATTTTTGGCTGTGCTGGGCCTTTGTTGCTGCAGGCAGGAGCCACTTTTCTATTGCACGAGCGTCTCACTGCAGTGGCGTCTCTTGGAGTGGAGCATGGGCTTCAGTAGTTGCGGCTCTTAGGCTCTGGAGTACAGGCTCAGGAGCTGTGGCTGCTATAACCTCACCTCCCTCTCGTTTACAGCTGTCCCCAACCTCTCCATGTTGGAGACGGTCGATTCTGTGAAGCTGGCCGACAAAGTGAACAGCGCGTGGCAGAAAAAAGGTTCCCCCGAAAGGTTAAAGGTTATGGTCCAGATAAACACCAGCGGAGAGGAGAGTAAGTGAACAGATGGGGATGGCAGACGTTTTCCCCTTAGCATATGGTGGGGCGCAGGACGGATGGCAGGCCTGAACAGCCGAAGCAGTGGGTCACAGAAGGAGCTCGCAGGGCCATTAAGTAAGTAGGGTCTCCATGGCACAAGGACCTCCAAGCCAGTCCACGTGTAATTCTTTACTACGTTCTTAGTTTCTGAAGAGGCCAGCAAGGAGACTCAAGAAGGGGCTTGTGTGACTTTGATCCTGAAAATTCCCAGAGATCACCCTCCCTCCCAAAAGAGATTGCAAATGTACATGTGTAATGCTTCTTGTGCCCGACTCTTTGCGACCCCATGGATTGCAGCCCACCAGACTCCTCTGTCCATGGGATTTCCCAGGCAAGAATACTGGAGTGGGTTGCCATTTCCTTCTCCTGTAATGCTTCTTACACCTTCAAAAATCATGTTTCCATTATTGGGAGAAAATCTAACAAAACTCACTGTGGGCACCAGTCAGGGAATATCTTGACGAGGCTTGGGTTAGCAGTGTAGCACAGAAATCAGAGCCTGGGCCTGAAACCAGGCAGACCTGGGGTTTGAGCTCCACCACACTCCAGCGCTGGAACCTTGAGCGACATACCTGACCTTTCTACCCTTCACTTTCCTTACCTGCCAGCGGTAGCAGAGCAGTAGTTCCAAGGGCGCTTCAAGGCTTGAATGTGGAGATGGAGGTAAAGCTGTTGGTGTAGGACCCTGCGCATCTTGCTTGTTAGCTCTTTGCTAAGAATACGTGTTTACAGACCAGTCGTTTGCTTTTAGAGCTTAGGCTGAAGGAACAGCCTGGGGCCTGGAGTCAGGCTTCCGGGATCCACGTCCCAGTTCCATACGTCCTTGCCCTGTGACCTTGAAAAAGGCTCTTAGCCTCCCAGAGCTTCAGTCTCCTCTTGTTTTAGAATGGAGAAAGTGAGAGCAGTTACTCCACAGAGCTACTGCATTAAATAAAAAAACTGTAGGGACTTGGCACGTGCGCCTGGTACAGAAGCATTCACTAAATTTTAACAATTAGCATTATATGTACATGCACCTAGATTATACATTATCCTGATAAGTAAACCCAAAACGGATTTCAGACCGAGTCCATTACAGCATTTCTTGAACAATGGCTATCATTTGCCCTAATTAAAGATTGGAGTGTTACTAGCAGCTCCCTTTGTTAAATGAGGGAGGGACAGAATCTGTCCTCATACCTGCATAACAAGTAATGTTTTGCCTCGGATTCCTTCTCTGGTTTTTAATGAGCAAGATCAGGTAAATTTCACAAAGTTCTAGTCAAAGCTATATGATATATACTTCATTTTTATTTGATTTTATAATTCCACTAACAAATTAATGAAACTGTAGAAGTACCAGATTTGGAAAAATAATTCTGTGGTTAATCTGGCGTTTGGGCAATGTGAGTCTTCTTGGTGTTTTTTTTTCTTTTTAAATGTTTTGGCTCCACCGCACACCCAACACGCAGGATCTTAGTTCCCTGACCAGGGATATCAAACCCAATGGCTTCCCCCCCCCCCCCCCCCCCGACCCTCACACTGGAAGCACATAATCTTAACCACTGAACCGCCAGGAAAGTTCCAGATAATTTTTTTTTTTAGATTAATTTTTCTTCCTTCTATTTTAAGAAAAGCAGTGTTTTTTTTTTTCCCCCTTTTCCTTCTATTCTAGCTGTCCTCACATGCTGAGGCAGAATAAAGAGAATCCAGTTTATAGCTCTTCCCTTGAGACACTCAGGACCGGGTCAGAAGGGGAGCAACACACACAGACAGCTCAGTGTAAAGTCACCATTTCAGTCTAGAGGACAAGTTCTCCCAAGAAGTCCTCTTGCCTGAGAGTCGCCTCCTCTGTCCTAGGGAAGGGTGTTCCTCTGGCTTTCTAGAACCTCTCAGTCTTCTGTCTCTTTTGTGAAGGCAAACACGGCCTGCCCCCTGCAGAGACGGCGGCCCTGGTGGAACACATCAACGCCAAGTGCCCCAGCCTGGAGTTCGTGGGGCTGATGACCATCGGGAGCTTTGGGCACGATCTTAGTCAAGGACCGAACCCGGACTTCCAGGTACCCGGGGCCCGGGGTGGGGGCGCTGCTCACGTCCAGTGAGGGTATAGGGCTGGCTGCTGCCGTCAGCTCCACAGACTTTCCGGACGTCTCTTGTCGTGTTACTTGATCACCCGCTTCTTAAACTCTCTTCACACGGAAAACGGGAACAGGTCTCCCGAACCCCCACAGACCCTTCTCCACTCGGCCTGAACCTGCCTGACACACGGTCTTCAGAGAAGAGGAGCTCCAGCTTCCTCTCCGACGGGTGACAGTTTTCTTGAAAGTAGGAGAGTTCGCTGCAAACCCTTTTAGTGACTCATGGTGGTGTTGACAGGCCTTGAAGCCACAAGGAATAAAGAAGTAGTCTCTGTCAGAGGTGTTGAGGCTCAGCCCCGTTCAGCCATCCTCGGAGAAGGCAGGGGTAAAATGGCGTCACGCTTGTCTCTCCGTCAGGTGTTGCTGTCCCTCCGGGAGGAGCTGTGCAGGAAGCTAGGCGTCCCTCCCGACCAGGTGGAACTGAGCATGGGCATGTCCGTGGACTTCCAGCACGCAGTGAGTGTCTTGGGCGCCTCCAGGACCGGTCCAAAGGCAACGCCTCGCCATCGCATTGAGACACCATGCAGCAGTGTCTCACCTATGCTGACGTCCCTAGCCCCTTCTTTTTTTTTTTGAAATGAAGTGTATAGAAATTACAGTTTGACACCTCATTTAAAAAAAAAAAGAATTCAGTTTAATTCCCGAAGTGGAATCGAAAGGAAAATCAAAAGAAGTCAAACTGCAGCCTTTTAAGAAGGCGTTTCCCTGTGTTCATGGTTGGGCGTGGTCACATGACACCAAGTCCTGACGAAGTGTCTGATGTCTGATCATACGCATAGATCCCCCCAGGATGCAGCAGCTCTGAGCACAGACTGATAGGTGTGCTGTGTCAGCGACTCATATGCACGATCTTCCAGAGCGGAGGCTCACTTGATCAAGTTCCAAGAACCGCACTGTAAAACCTTCCTCTGGATTTACAGTAGTGACACGAGTGGAAGATAGAGTATGTTAACATGATGCCAAAATGCTTGGTGTTTCTACGTAAGATGGAATTCGCTCCTGTGCTCACTCACTCACAGGGAGGCTTGCTCACCTCTGCAACCCCAGCATGTGAGAAGGGCGTGTGGTCTGCAGGATGGCTCTCTGTCATGAACACCCCTTTGGGTGGACCACTGCCCCACAGTCCTTCAGCTGCATTGTCATATGAGACACAGCTTCAGCATCTGCTGCATCATTATTATTGTTTTAAACTCAGCCCCTCCTTCTTCCCCACAGATTGAAGTGGGATCTACAAACGTCCGCATCGGAAGCACCATTTTTGGAGAGCGAGATTACTCCAAGAAAGCGGCCCCAGACAAGCCCGCAGCAGAGCTGAAGGCCCCGGAGGAAGTGGCCCAGGCACACTGACCCGAAGCCGGATCCAGGAAGACTCACTGTGCGCTCACCTGGGCCTCCACCTTCCACAGGCCCCGAGTCACCGTATCTCCATGCCCTCCTGGGGACCTGACGAGAGCATGCCCAGGGCAATGTGTGTGGATGGGAAGTGTCTTATGTAGTGTCTGACACAGGAAGCTCACTGCAAGCAGTGGCTTCGGACTGGATTTGAGGAATGCAGACGTTTCTGCAGATCAGATGCCTAGGCCAGGGCCAGGAGTTGAGTTCAGGCTTGAACTTTGCCCAGGAATGCGTTTCCCAGGTGTTGCCTGTAATCGCCACAATCAGAGGGATTCCCACCTGTCATCCACTTGGATAGAAAATCCCTGTTGCCAACTCCATACAAACTCCACAGAGCAGTCACCTCTGCCACCCCGGAGCAGCATGGTCTCTGTCCACCACCACCACCCCACCCACCACCCCCCCGTTTCCATCCCACCCAGTTAACACCAGTCTCCACTTCAGATGGCAACTTTGGGTAACTTCAGGACCCAGCTCGAGTTAATCCCCCACGCCCATATTGTAGCCGATGAGAGTTGTGTCATCCATCAACCACCCTGTGACCTGAAAATTACAGGGCGACTACCATGAGCGGGCCTCGGGCCTTCCTACCATCCTCTCCAGAGACAGGACTTTGAGTTTTCCCTGAGGCCCTGTGGTGATGAGAGTTGAATGATACAATTTTTCTGCCACCAGGGTCCTTGCTGTGATGATTTCATATCAAACACCAGTGGATCTCCAGTAGCTCCCCAGAAATTAAAGATTTCCCCCAAAGCCAGTTCAGGCTCACAGTTTCAACACGACTTGGCTTTTAGGGTCCTATTCCTGGGAGTACTTTTTAGGCGCATTTATAGCTTCCCCTCCCGACCATATTTATAAGACAGGATTTTGCAACTCTAGATTGTTAAATAGAGTAGCTAGCTCTTCAAAACCCAGAAAGCACAATTCTCAGGCAGTTACAACAGACAGCTATAGTCTGGGTCATCCTTTATTTTCTAGGTGGGTTTTTTTAATTTATTCAAACCCCAGTCTTTTAATTGTATGAAAACAACTTCCATGATGCTGCTGCCGAATGCAATTTTGTAAAACTTAAACCATTACGATTCCTATACTGTTTGAATCAAAGCTCTAGTGTGATAATTCAGCATCTATTAAATAAAAATGTGAGTTTGAAGTACAACTTATGTGCTAATTACAAAGCAATTAAAAGATTTATTTTCTACGATCTGGTGTAGTGAGTAAGTCTAACAGGAGGGGGCATTGGACCAAACTGGAAGCCACCACACCCATCCTGGCATTGCACAGCTTACAAGAAGGACGCACCTTAGGCCACAGTTCACTCAGTGTCCGACTCTTTGCGACCCCGTGGACTGTAGCACGCCACGCTTCCCTGTCCATCACCAACTCCCGAAGCTTGCTCAAACTCATGTCCACTGAGTCGGTGATACCATCCAACCATCTCATCCTGTCGTCCCCTTCTCCTCCTGCCCTCAATCTTTCCCAGCATCAGGGTCTCTTCCAATGAGTCGGTTCTTCACATCTGGTGGCCAAAGTATTGGAGCTTCAGCTTCAGCGTCAGTCTTTCCAATAAATATTCAGGACTAATTTCCCTTAGGATTGACTGGTTGGATCTCCTTGAAGCCCAAGGGACTCAAGAGTCACAGATGCAGCCAAAGCCACACTGCAGATAAAAGGAGGGATTCTGAAGTTATAAAGGCCAGAAAGTGAAATGTTCACATTTCAGGAATTATGAAGAGGTGGCCTCTTGCTGTTAAGAGACTCAAAGCTACCTCTAGGTGGCGACATTGGCTAACCTGAGGGGCAAGCTTTGGGGTGCCACTGTCAGCAAATTACCCTGGGAGAGACTGTCATCTAGCATCACCCTGTTTTTAATGTGTTTATCTATGGGGAGAATGGTTTCTAATGGAGATTATTTATTTGGTTGCGTGGCATGGGGGATTTAGTTCTTTAACCAGGGATTGAACCTGGTCCCCCTGAATTAGGAGCATGGAGTCTCAGTCACTGGACCACCAGGAAAAGTCCCACCCCTTCTCTTTTTCAACTTCATCTGAGGGTACAGATCTGAGAGAGAGGCCGGGGTCAGAGAGTGCACCCCGCCCACCACACTCAGCATCTGCCACCTCCCGCTGGCTGCCCTCCGGGGTTCTTCAGTCACCCCTCACCCATTCTTCTTAAGTCAAAACAGAAACCAGGGAAGACACGGTTTTCCCAAGCCATGTGGCCGACTTCTCCAGAGTCACAAGGTTCTTTCAGATACCTCATTTCTTTGCAAACTCAGCTGAGGGTTCTGAGGGTTCCATGGAAACTTTGGGAGAGACATAGTTGGAACAAGAGACCCCTCAGACTTGTGCGTGTCTGCAGATCAAGAAAAACTAAGGAGAAGATTCAGGGGGGGCAGGGAACCCTGGGAGGCTGACTCAAACCCAGATCACTAAAGGAAACCGAAGTCCAATATGCCCACCGCAGGCCGGGACCTTTCGCAGAGAGAGCCACGTTGTGACTTTGTCTTGTGTTACGCGTGCCAAGCATGAGTGTTCAGATTTCTGTCAAAGCCCTGACAGCGTCCACGTCCAGTTTTCTGAGTGACAACATCATGCCATCCTGGACCACACCCACCCATGCAGCCTGTCTCTGACGATGCTATCCAGCCCCTGGACCCCGGTCGCCCTGGTACCAGCCCCAGAAGGTCTGGATGCTCAGAGATCCCCCAGTAAATCCTTCAAGGTTTTGCCTCAGGGAGGTTCCTTACAGATTCACTGCATCTCTTAACAAAGCAACCTCTTAATATTCAAATGGTCCTCCTCCACCCGCTTTTCACATCACTCATGGCCCACAAATTACTATCCCTACATCCTCTGATTCTGCCCTCGTGGCAGCCAGTAGGGCGATTTAGGCTTTGGGGCGGCATCCCTTTGTGCATGGGGCACCGAGACCCAGAGAAGGTTCTGTGTGCTCCTCCCTGAGGTCAGAGTGGGTTGGTGGCAGGACAAGAAAGAAACTCAAGACCTTTGATTCCTGGTCCAGAGCTTGATCACCACACCACCTGGCCTCCTCTGCTGTCTCAGCCTTTAATAATTAGTAAGCGGCATATCCTTAGATTTATAAGCTTCATTTAGTTTACTTTTGTTTTGATTTCTTTGACTGCACCGCTCAGCTTGTGGGATCTTAGTTCCCCAACCAGGGATCGAACTGATGCCCACGGCGGTGAAGCTCCAAGTCCTAACCACGAGGGCCTCCCTATAAACGTCATATAAAAGAAACTTCTTAACATGAAAGAAATGGATGTGCTCCAGCCTGCAGCCATTGTTGAGAACTGACACGGCTTAATGCAGAACAAACTTTGGAACCCCAAGTAGAGGGGATGGGAGGGAGGGAGAGAATTAAACCCAGCCTGACTGGACTCACCCTTCCCTTTCTTTTACCCTGTTTCCCTCACATAGATGCAAACTGTGCCACAGGCTGCAGGGCTCAGAGAGTGTGGAGAGTGCCCTTTACCCCCTTGGCCAGACAGGCGTTGAATTCTGTTCCCCAAGGCTGGGCCAGGAGGAAGGAGGTCAAACGGGGCATTCGGAAAATCCAGGACATCCTTGTCCTTGAGACGAGAAGAGTCCCCAAAGCACCGAGCGGGGACGCCTCGCCCCCCTGTTCCTACAGGGCTTCGATGAGACTGGACATGCAACAGTGCAATTGAGCTGATCCGCGCTGGGAGCCGTGGCTGTCTTTACCATGAAATCAGTTGAATGTTATTACATCAGCCTCGTGACTAAGGGCGAAAGCATCCAACCGTCCACGAGACAGTTTTTGCTAATCGGCCCTCCCCTCAAGCAGCACGTAGGTAGGAAGAGGGTCTCTCTTTTTTTTTCTACCCACTTTCCCTCAACCACACCCAGTCGTGCCCGGCTTTATACCCAGCTTGTAGATATCTCAGGCCACCCGTGGCTGAGTCTCGATTCGCAAGGTCGAGTCCCTCTCTGAAAAAAAAAATCATTTCAGGGTCCCAAAAGGGACCTCAGAGCTGACACTGTCTTCTGTCAATTCCAGCACAGGGGGCTGAAATGGCATACGGTGAGGACAGAGGTGGGGAGTGGGGCGACGGTGGGGGGGGTACTCTAGTCACATTTTTTTGTATTTAAAAATCAATACACTATCCAGCTTCTGAGCTTTGAGACCCCAAAGGAACAGAAGCCACCCTCCAAGTGCCGATGGCCTTCTGGAAGTTTCTCTCCGCGAGCTGGCTGGCTGCACTCCTGCCTGGAGCTCCCCAGCTTCAGAGCTAGGCTTGACCCAGCTGCCAATCTCCAAAATAAAATCAATGTGTGACCTTATTCACCAGCTGTACCGAAGAAACTAGCGCAAACTAGGGCCAACTTTGAAGCCAAAAAGGGAAGATGAGAAGTTGGGGGAGAGAGAGAGAAAGAACGGGGGTGTGGGGGAGAGGAAAAACTTGGCTGGACATGAAAGGTGTCTTGTCTGTCTGTTCCCCATTAGGCTCGATTCTCTTGCAATCTGCAGCCTCGACATAATTCTCTTGACCAGAAACTCTCCGGAGAGATAGTGTTAGAAGGAAAAACAAACAGAATAGCATCTCGGACAGCAAAGTCACTTAAAAAGCAATCCGGGGGTGGAGGGCGGTGGGGAAGAGAAGTCAGCTCCTAGGGGAGGGTGCTCCTTACAGCAGGCCGCCCATGGAGGACCACTCCCCTGGGATAAAGACACAAGGGGCAGGGGGACCCCAAGAGAGGGCTGGTGGGCCAGGCGAGGCAGCGAAACCCCAAGTCCTCTGCCCCCCCAGCCTCTCTGATGCCTCAAAACCCACCTTGGCTGGCTTTCCCAACTGTGCACTCAACACAAAACCCCAGGGTGCTGGGCTTTTCACAGCCTGCAGTGCATGGAGGGGACTTCAGAAGGATTACCTGAGAAAAAAGTGGTCCCAGTTTGTCCTAATTCCACTT